AAACCCCCACAATTCTTAAAAGAAAAACAATGAGCAGGATATATTGTAGTTGTGACATATTAATATCACTACCTATTTGTCATGTGTTAAAACGTCAATAAAATCTGTTTTTAAATTTTCATTAAAAATACTACAGTAATGATTGCCTATAGTATATCACACGTGCATTTTTAACATTCGTAATTTGAATTTCAATATTTTATGTTTTTTTTAAATCTATATCTTGAATTCGAATTTCAAAATCTTACATGAACATAATAATCACTCTATTCAATTATTCATTTATTCATCGACAACTTTATTCGAATTTCAAAATCTTACTTGGCCAAATTTCTCAGTCCATTTTTGATTTACAGCTGTAATTCGAAATTCAAATCAAATAATCGCTATCTTCCTTACGCTAAACCGGCATGTATCTGCAACTCCAAGTAATAAACTGTTGTTCCTAAGCCTCCAGCAACACATTGTGCCTAGCACCGCCTCCAGGCATACCTTTTAGTGCATAATCTATTTTATGCCCTGCAAAAAGTCCAAACCTATGCCTTCAAAGTATGCATTGTACGTTTTATGCGAAGATGCTTTAAGAACTGAAAATTTGTTGGTATTTTTAAGACACGTTATTGTCGGCTATTTCAAATAGTTGTGTGAATATTGCCGCATAACTTCTGTGAATCAATCTTTCTGTTATTTGTGTATGCAATTTACAATACAGTAACTGACTGAGTATCTCGTGTAGAGTGCTTGGTAAAAAAAGTTTATATGCTAGAGTAAAAAGTAAAAAATAAAAAGAAAAAATCATTTGTTGTTTTTATTTAAATTGAACTTGAATTTAAAATTCGAATGTCGTGGACATGTGGTATTGATAAAGTATTTTTTTATTAAAACCTAAAAGCCTATCGATTAATAAGCTCGGTTCGGATAGTTTATTGCTACAGCCACGAAAATAAAACAACACGGCCACTGGTCACCGGTAAGAAAAGCGACCAGCGCAAAAAACGACAAAAATGGCTACGCATTCGTAATGCAAAAAAAAATAGAGAGGTCAATACGAATTTCGTAGGAGAGAGTGAAAAAGAGGACGTTTAGAATGCAACGCGTGCGCTGGACATCCGTTGCGGTAAAAAATCGGTGATGCCATCTAGCGGCATCTTGTGAAACTACGCGCGAAATTCAAAGGTATTATTAACTAGTTGGCTTTAATTATTAGATTCCAAAACAAGGCCACATATGCTGTGGTGGTCTTTTAAGCCTTGACGTATTATCCTATAACCCCTAGATGGGGCAGAGGGCGTCCACAGTGAGTCTCCATCGTGTTCAGTCTTGAGCTTCATATTTCACCTCGCTCCAAGTCTTTCCGGCTCTCTTTGCCTTATCTGCAACTGTACGGCGCCAGGTTTCCCTTCCAGGAATCCCTTCAGAGTCTATGGCCTATCCGTTTCCACCTGCATCGCTTGATCTGCTGCCTAATCGGGGTTTTACGGCAGCGCTCCCAAAGTTGCTCGTTACAGACCAGTAGATGCCCAAAGTACGGCGAAGACAGCGGTTGACGAAGACTTGGAGACTGCAAGGTCTTACGTTACAGAATCTCTGTAGAAAAGTCGATATATTTTGTTCCATCGCCATATATTCTTAAAATTAGCACCACCACTGGCTTCGTCTAAATTAAATTAATTTCGTTTGATATATTTGATAGCGTATAATATAATATCTTAGCCACTATATGTTACCACAATGGTAGCCCTAAGCTTTTCTTGGTACGGACTTTTGAAAGTTTCTTTGTTAGATAATCGTTTGAACGAATAGCTATCACAGTTCGCGTGAACACACAATCAGAAACTAAAGAGTAGGTACATAACGCAATTAAAATTTGATTTTATGTAGTGTAATAGTCTATAAGTAGATTAAACATAGCATAAAAGTTACCACAGATTAAAAATTATCCAAACAGATCATTAAGCCGATCACTGATCAATGATAGACCACCTCGTGTCATAACACGTTTGATTGATGGAAATTATTAGCTCCTTATCATTGATTCATTATATCGGGCTTCTGTTCTTAATTACCGTCTGCATCTCAAGTCTAGTTATGTAATATATAATAAATTCACTTTTAAAACATTTATTAAATACCTACTTCATGAATATAATAAAAATGGAGCTAATTAAAAAAAAAGTGCATGCGTACAAAGTACACATGTCAGAAGTGAAACTTCTTTGGCAAACTAATTTCTATGTCTTGTTCATATTTATACAAATCTAAAACTTTAGATTTCCGAGAGGGAGGGAAACAGGAAGATATGTTAGGAATTTAATGAATTTAATTGTCATTAAAATATTAAAAGTGTCGGAAATTAATACAAATTATTAATTTAATTTATTTCTTCGATAATAAAAACACGTGGCATTTTAATTTACAACTCGTCATTTGATTTTGATTTCAATATATTATTTTGCATACAACATAAATTATAATATTTCATAATTTCTCTTTACGAAATTATTTTAAAAATAGAATTTCTATAATGTAATTCGCCCTTCTCACTCTCTCTCAATCGCTCTCTCCCTTTTCTTCGATAAAAACGCTGCACATCTTCGTGACGTTCCGTAAAAATTTTACCCTCATCCTAAAGAAGTTTTACTTCAAAAATTCACCTCTCTCGGAAGAGTCTGGTCACCCACAACACAGGTTTGTTCTATGGTCACCAGACTCCTTACATCAGCGCTTCGGTATCTTTATTTTTGCTCTCAAAAATCACACATGTAATGAGGACAATCAGATACAATATGTTATAGAAAGGATATACAGGTGAAAATGACATTAGAACTTAAGAAGGCAGACCAGATCCATGCAACTTCTTCACAATCACAGCCCGCAATATCACACACGACGAGGTACTATTTGTATTGAAGAAGTCGCATAGGCCAAGCATGTACATGTACAATACATTTGTAGGAATAAAGAAAATAATAATAGCAAATAATTTGCAGCAAGGTTGCTAAAACGACTCGGCAAGATCTCAATCGAGTTGCTGAAAATGTCCAACGAGTCATTTTTTATCACAGTTTTATTGTAAATCCGACAAAATAATGAGAGAACACAGTACACAGTACACAACAAACATGTCGTGATATCGCTAATAGCGCTGCGTGTGTTGAACAACAACATTGGTTTAATTAATAAGTTTTTTAATTGTATATCAATTATTAAAGCGCGGTAATTGGTACTCGCAGTAATAATAAAAGAATGAACTCAAGATGATGACAGGTCGACGCAGAAGAGTGATTTGTGTATTTGTTCTTCGGGGCCATTCAATTATTAAGTAAGCAGATTTACTACATCTATCCCCCCTACCCCCTGGTCAGCAAAAGTAAGCTAAGCTCATGAATGGTATTATGCCATATGAGTAAAATTGTCAATAATTACCCTGACGTAATCACCATTCACCCCCCAGTCCCCACGTCATCAAAAATAAGGACCTTCGATAGAAAAGAAAGAAGAGAAAATCAAAGACCTGCATAGTAATTACGTAATACTTGAACGGCCCCTTCTTCAATAATTTCACCATACTACTTTATTCCTTGTAGCATAGGCTATATATAAAATATTAGAAGCATTAAGGATACCATCAAAATAGTCGGAGCAGAGCCCTTCAGAGTTCAGGCCAATAAAATAAATGTTTACGAAAGATTTGATTTATTTATGAAAAGCAATAAAAAATGTGTTTGCTATCGCTACACTAAACTTGATTGATTTGTGTCATCAAAACTTTAAGAAATAAGTTCAAAACTCCATCTTACTTAATGACATGGTCATTTATTAACGATATAAACAGATTTGGGCCTTTTTGGGTGGTTTTCCTTTTTTGACAGGTGCGTTAGATTATTATCAAGACGTGCAATTCAAAACGTTATTCTAAGCCTATTTGAGTGACATCAAAGTGACATTTGACACATTACGGTTATACGGCATGTTACATGTATAATGTTACAAGTTTAGTAATTCCATTTAAACCATAGTGTATTTTTACGTAAATGTCACAAATTTACAACTATATTTTTAACTATACCCCCCAGTCTTTACACGATAGAATTATGTAAGGATAACCTAATTATAAAAATATATATACAATACTAGCTGACCCGGCAAACGTTGTTGTCAACATTATTTCTAGGAAACAAATTTTAGTTCAATAAAAATAACTATCTACTATAATAAAAAATAGGGGTTGATCGTAGAAGGGTGAAAATTAAGTGTCGTATGTATTTTTTATGCTGTATCATAAAAAAATTAAAAATTAAAAAAATTAAAATTTAGGGGGTAACCATTAATATTTAGGGAGATAAAAAATAGATGTCTGATTCGCAGACCTAACCGATATGCACTTAAAATTTCACGAAAATCGGTCGAGCCATTTCGGAGGAGTTTAATTACAAACACCGTCACACGAGAATTTTATATATTAGATATATTTAAGATAATACAATTTCTCTTCATTCCAATCAGGGAATATTAATTGCCACTAAACCCCTGATGAAATTATGAATAGACAATAATTAATGCGAACCCAAAATAAGATGAATTCTCAAAACAAAGGGTCACTGGCCATAAGATAATGCCATATTAGGTGGCCGTATAAAAGCGATTCTGTGACGTGTCTGGCTAATGGAAATCGGTAGTCCGGTAATAAAATGCCGTTAATCTACTAATAAGGCTGGCCAGAGATAATAGAGTTGGGACAATAAAACCTTAACCTTCGTTTGATTTATAAACAATCAAATTTATGGCGTTGCTATTTTAAAATTATTTAGATCTCGGTTTTCGAATTATGAATTGTATACAGCAAGTAAAGATATATTAAGCAATGAAAAAAATTTAAAAAAGGATTATTTAAAACCGCCCCCACCTGCCCCCCACTGGTAAATCTCTTGTATCATATAAAAAAGATTAAGTATACATTTAAAATAAATATAGATAAAAAAGAGGCTCAGGAATATATTATGATAACTGAATGTAATACTAAGAAATCAGGTTGTAACATTATATTGAATAGAACATAATTAATGATGTATCTCTATCACAGCAGTCATTAGTTATTTAATAAAAACATCGATACATCGATCGGTATTAATCCAACACTACAAGAAGCCCTTGTCATTTGTCAACTTGACTTCTGACATCAGTCACCGGTTGGCGATGTTACCTGCTTGTATTTTTTATGATAATTTGTTTTAAATTCCACCTTGAATATTTTTTTTATATTTCTTTAATTATATTTATTAGTCTTAAATTTCTCGTTCTGTGAAAAAAACGTCAAAGTTGTATTGCATAATGAGAAATATTTTTTATATCCATCTTGCTATCTCTAAGTAAAGTTGTTTGTTTTGCCAGTAGCAAGTTGTGTCGCATTGATTAATATCCTCAAAGATTGTTCACTCCATCGATAACTCCTGCCAGAGCCTCGCACCTTCTCTCTGCATTATAAAACCAACTTTAATATTAAAAAATAAAGTCTAATTTTATCTACAACTCTTCTTAGACCTGAACATCACGTAATTTATGAGTTGCTCACTGAAGGTGCTTTATAGTTGTTTGATAACACTCCATCGTGATTATTTAGCCAGAGTTTGTGACAGCCATGTATTTTGTTTTGTATAAACTCTAATGTTACGTTCAGGAATTTTATCTGGACATTGTCAAGTGTTATTAGTAATGATCACCCTTATTTTCCATAAACAATAATACAGCATCTTAGACTTCCACTTTTGTAATACTTCGTTTCTATTTTCCAGGTAAAAAATGGCGGTCGTTGACTCCCCAAGATCGCCGGCCATTTGTGGAAGAAGCTGAACGTCTACGGGTAATTCACATGACGGAACATCCGAACTACAAATACAGGCCCAGGCGGCGAAAGCAGAACAAGACAAGACCCAACCAGCCCACAGCGCCATCTAGCGCTCCACCCTCTGCCACAACTGCATTAGGATCTCCATACGCCACTGCCACTGACTCACCAGACACACGCTTCTCCCATAACCCTGGAGCTGGTTTCTCCCCATACCGAACTTCGCCACTTGCGCCAGACTCGTACCAAACAAGTCAATTTAATGGCCACGTTCGAACACCTGAATCTTCCCCAGCTCGATCTCCCGAACCCCAAGGAAGAAGAAGCACCCCAGCAGATGCTTCAAGAATCGGAACACCTGACGCGTCCCCTGTCGAGAATGAAAAGGAGAATTTTCAGTATGAAGAAAGGCGGAGGGCGATTAATGCCTCATCTCTCTCCGAGTCGTACTCCTACAAGTCTTTCCGATCAACTGGGTCTTTCTCACCCGCGCCCGTAGCTGCCATGGGAATGGCAAACGGAATGTATGTGATGTGTGCCCAAAGGTCTTTAGCCGAACAACCTCCTTTAGTAACTGGCACTTTCTTTCCACCAGTCGCTACATCACAGGATCAACAAGCTCTCGGCTCAACTGCCCCCAGGGTATCCTCTGCACCAAGCGGTCCAATGACAACAGAATACAGCATTCAATACCATCCATATGAACAATACGAGCAAATGTACAAAACAGAGGATTCATATGTGTCCCACTACCCTGATCAACCGAAAACTGAGTATGATAATAGCGGAACATATTTCGCAGAAGAACCGCCTCAGGGCCAAGACAACGAGCAAGTATTTATACCTCGACCAGAAATACGGACTGGATCTCCTGAATCTGACGTAGATGCTCGAGAGTTTGACAAGTACTTGGAGTATAACGCTCAGGGTATGGAGCAGCACCAGCAGTATAGATATGAACAGCAGCAGTACAGGCCGTATTGCCCAGAGCAACAACCGCAAGATTACTGTACAGAGAGGATGTATCCTTCTCCCTACGCATCAGTTATAGCTGGGACGCCCCCTTCAGGGCCTTACACGCCTGCTCCACCAGGCTTAGCCGATGCCCGCCCTGACGATGAATTCAGCGTTATCTTGGCTGGAGTAAGACAGACCTGTTACAGCAATTGACTATACCGAGAATGAACATATACAAAGCCTTAGAATAATACGAACTCATTATGAACACAAAATGTGATCTTTGCACGATGTGTTAAAATATTTTAGTGTAGACAAAGTTAATCAGGTGTTATATATTAATTAGTTTTTTAATGTTCCTAAGTTGATAAATATGCGAGACAATTTATGATTAATATTATTTCTGAATGCCGCAAAGTGCCTGGTGTTCTGTTCTGTTCCAAAATGTGTATATCCAAGTTAGGGCCTGACGTGAATTGATTCGGAGTTTATTTTGACGTAATCCAATTCACAGCACCAAATTGCAGATTCTATAATCTTTGAACTCAATAAAGATGTCTTGGGGGCCGTTCAAGTATTACGTAAGCAGATTAACTGCAATTTATCCCCCTCCTCCTCCTCTTGTCAGGAAAAGTAAGCAAAGCTCTCAAAAATAATAGTATATAAACGTATTAATTTTTTGTAGGAATCCTCGAAAATGCATATCATTTTCAAGCATAGACAATGTGTGGGTAATATGTGTAAAAAAGTAAATAATTACTGTTGACAATCACAAAAAAAGAAAATCAAAGACCCCCCTCCCCCTATAGTGCTTACGTATACGGCCCCTTGGGACATAAGACAATCATTTTTTTACTTTGTTAATATTAATAAAAATAGACCCTTCTATACATACGAATATTTCCAATTTAATTATAAAAGAATATTTCCTTTGGTCGCACGTAAATGCGACGATAAAGTTTAAACCTATTTATAAAATGGTTGGTCCAAAAGTTATGACCAAGTTTTGTAAAAATGTATTTATCGTTTATGTTAATTTTAGACCTCGGACAAGCATGGTGCTACATGTCATTACGATTATGTACCAAATGGTACTTTCCTAAAAGATTATTTATTTGTTTGTATATTTGCTTACGAAATCTGTTCTTCCATAAGTCTGTAGATATTAATATAGTTTTAGTTATTTTTATATTTTATATTTGTATAAACGGTTAATATCTCATAATTTAGATAATAGTTAATAGAAATTTAGTGTAACAGCACTGCGATAAGTTCTTCCTGATTGTAAAATTTATAAAAACAATAAAATTATAATCCATTATTATTCTCTTTCATTTACTAAAGTTCCCTTAGCAATTGAAACGAAATAATATAATTGAGTGGCGGTACAACGGTTTCAGGTCTGGGCCTCAGATTTCTGCATCTGTTTTATGATCATTTGTCAATCTAATAGGCAAGTAGGTGATCAGCCTCCTGTACCTGACACACGCTGTCGACTTTTTTCCTTCACCGTTCGAGCGAATGTTAAATGTGCACATAGAAATAAAATCTATTGGTGAAAACAGGGATCGAAACAAAAGGATCCTTATTTTTAATTAATATATTATTCATATGATTTATAATTTTTTTTAAATATTTTCAGTACAATATTCATCATTCTATAGATGATGTCTTTGTATTGTATTAACTTATAAAAACAAAAGTTCCAAAAAAGTGAAGTCTACGATCTTTGCCAACTTGGCAGGAAAACTTACAAATTACAATAATAATAACCAAGTATCAATAGACTCATTATGTCCACCACCGAAATATTGACACAACAGTTGAAACAGATTCTATCAAATTGTTAGACCACCGAAAGCCATTTATTTAATTTTATTTTATTATTTCCTTCAAAATTATAAAATATAATTATATTGGTTCGCCGTTCGACAACTGAGCGTTTTTCAAGGCAGTTTTTGCCGCGCACCACCACTATGCGGAACCAGCTGCCCACTGAAGTATTACCGAACCAATTATACTTAGGGACCTTCAAGAAAAGAGCGTAGCTATTCTTAAAAAGCCGGCAACGCACTCGCGTGCCCTGTTCTATAAAAAAAATGCAGTTAAATTAAATATGACAAGAATAATTCGTAAATTTCTACAAATACCCATAAAAAACTGTGTTCACTTGGTTTAGGCCCGTGTGCGACAGTGTACCAGGATTGATTTATTCAATCCTACGCTAAAGTAACCAAACATAACAATTATAAAGTTTATTTGCCTCTTCACAATATTTCATTTTACGGATTTCAATGCTGCACGTATTAGCCATCTTTGTGAGAGGCTAGTGCATATAATAGGACTGTAGAAGTCCATTGGTAACAGATAACCATCCCGTACAGACAACAAAGATGACTAAGGGAGCATTCAAATATTACATAACGAATTGGGGGGGGTTGTGTCCTTTTGTAAAACGTTACGATGCGGGGCGGGGATTGAATTACGCGTTATTGTTAATATTATTTTCGACTTTCCAGTACTTTACACCACATAATAGTAACTTTTAGGTATAAAGAGTCACTGGTCACGAAACGTTTTACTATAAACGTTACGGCGCGTTGCATGTTACAATACTTATTAAATTGTGGCTTCAGCGTGCGACTCTCATCCCTAGTACATTCGATCCCCGGCTGTTCACCAATAGACTTTCTTTGTATGTGCGCTTTTAACATTCGCTCGGACGGTAAAGGAATAGTATATTTCATTACAAGTGCGGAAAGCCTGTCATTGCAAAGAGTTTCGACAAATGTCTAGCCTTTCGCAGCCGAAGGTGAGGGTTGACAGTCGGAACAAGTTGCAATGACGGTTCCGCACGTGTACTGAACAACTATTTTTAATACAGTTGCGAAAAAATTATGCAATTTAATTAAATAATAAAAACACAATAAACTCAACTAACTAATCATTTATTTCTTATACAAATTATTGTTCACATATACATTGGTACAGTTTTTTATACTAACTGGAGAAGTTTTAGGTTGCATATTTATTTACTGTTTGAGACAAACTATTATTAATTTCGTATGATTGTTCATGTATATTTAATATATAATATAACAAACAACTAAACGCGGCAAAGAACATTTATGGAAAATGGCGCCAACCGTAAAAGAATATAAGCAGATTTTTTTTTCTCTTCACCCATTCTGGGTAGGCAAAGGGAACTATGCCCATACAGCCAAGTCTTCAGTACAATTTTTTATTGATACGAAATGAAATGAAATCTAACCTAACTCATTGAATCAAATCATTAAATATGATATTGAAACAAAGCAGTAGCTTCTTTTTAGAAATATTTGCATGAATCATAAAAATTTCTATGAATTTTTTTTAGTAAAAACTTCGTGGTTGGTTTTTTCTTTTTAATATACTTTTTAATATAGCACTAGTTCGGAAAAGGTAAAAAAAAAGCACGAGTGTGTAATAGCCCACATCCCGAACGCTATACGTCCCTGCAATACGCCACTTTTTGAGCAACTGTATTAAAAAACATTAGGACGACGTGTGTCAGACATAGGAGGCCTATTATATTATCCTATATATTATATTATATATGATCACCTACTTGCCTATTAAATTGATATTATGTAACACCGCCGCCCATGGGCAGACTCAATACCATAGGGCTCGCGAGTGGGTTGACGGCCTTTTTAGAATTAGTACGCTCTTTTTTTTTAAGGACCCGAATCGAATATAAAATAATAACTGGTATATCTCGTTAAACCGTTAAAACGATTTATGTATTCCTTTAATAAGATGTATTTAAATATAGAATATACCAAAGACAAAAACATTTAAAATCATATAAAACCATTAATCGCAATGTCAAAAACAAAGTCTGTACCTCACACGTGCCCTAAACAGTCCAAATAAAATTAAAATTACTAAATAATGTTGCGGTCTGTAATTATCGGCACGCCGCGGTACGCCCCGTCGATACCTCGATGGCCGGAGATATATTTACTGGTATTTTTATAACTTTATATTTCAATTTGCAAATGTGCATTATTGGTACAAGTATTTTTGAAGTGAAACTCTTTATCGAGGTTGGAAAAAAATTTAGTGTAACATTTTTTCGTTACGCGTCACATTTTTCGGTTACGCGCCATGTTGCTTTTTGAAGTCAAACTTCTTTATCGGCGTTGGAATGAAACTTCTTTATCGACGTATTGGAGAAATTTTGTAGCAAATCGTCACGTTTTTCAATGATAGTAATAATTCTATTACAATTAATGAAATTCTATAATAATCTTCGTAGTAATAAGGTAAAATGAAATATTTGTATTCATGTCGACAAACTAGACTATGATAATAAAAGCCTTTTGTTAAACTTTATCTAATTTAACGAATTTCTGTAAAGTTGCATATAGTAGATCATTTTTCGAAAAATAAGATCATAGTTTCTGAGTTGTGATGGCTCTGTTTAATTAATGTTTCTTTGTAGGAAATTAAATGATAAAAGGTCCTTGTGCTCCTTTAATCAAGAAAAGAGCGTACGAATGCTTTAAAAGCCGGCAACGCACTTGGGAGCCATCCGGTAATGTCTATCTATGGGCAACGGGATCAGGTAACATCAGGCATGAACCTCCTGCCCGTTTGCCCACTGTTCTAATAAAAAAATCAAACAATGTGTATAGCTATGGTAGAGAAAAAAATCGAAATGTTCGAGCTGTTGAACAATATTATCGTATTGACGTAATCATTTTTGACTAAACGTAGGATACTCTGTGGGTTCTGAAGACATCGTATTATTACTTCTCGCTTTGTCTTGAAGTAGAAGATATAATGATACTTTAATAGTGGTTTAAATAAATCTACAAATAAAACATAAGCTTCACTTTAAAGCTTACATAACTGTCATATATTAAATAGATATTTGATGTAACTAAATAATAACTGGGCACACGAATTATATGTTATGGACATAATATGACAACAGCATTCAACATACAATGATTTATTTTTAAGCAGATTAGATAGATTACAACTTGAGCAGTGTTGGCCTAGTAGCTTCAGCGTGCGACTCTCATACCTAAGGTCGTAGGTTCGATCCCCGGCTGTGCACCAATGGATTTTCTTTGTATGTGCGCATTAAACATTTGCTCGAACGGACAAGGAAAACATCGTGAGGAAACCGACATGTCTTAGACCCAAAAAGTCGACGGCGTGTG